AGGCATTTTCAATTGCTGGCCATATAAATAGGCATTGAAGTCTCAAATACTACTACATAAATTACAAAATTAACATAAACCCTTGCTCAAATGTGTATCTGTTTCCACATTAATGTAAAGTAAAAAATAAAATGCATAATTTATATGCCCTTGACATTAGTTAGCTTTAACACACTAATTTATTTGCCATGAAAACTGCAAAAGAAAATTCACTGTTACATGATGAATAGTAAATAACATCATTTAAGACAAGGAGCCACATTTAAAAGCTGGTAAATTTAATTTTATTCAACATTAAATTCGATATTGTGTTATCTTTGACAGTGACAACAGACAGATTAAAAAGTTTTTTTAGGATTTTCTTTTTGCAGTATTGTAGTCATATTATATACGACTTAAAACTAATGTTAGAGGGTTTGATAACGTTCTCAATAACCTTCAAACCAGGGAGTGTGGCAGTCAGTTTTACACAAAATAGTCCTCCCTGTCACATTCTCCTCCATCACAAGTACAGTATGAGGGAATTTAACTTCTCAATGTTATTTGGTGCAAAAATAAATATGGTTACTGAGGTGGTCTGTTTTTTGGTAAGTGTAATGTGGAACTGAAACTACGGTGGACAAAAAATGTCTTGACATTAAAAATTTGGCACTAATCCTGTAATTACTCTACAGTGCAGTTTATAAAGTTATGGTGCAATAGCTGTTTTTTAATCTGGTCTGTATAACAGATGCAGTTATTTAGCTCATATAATAAGAATTATACATTGTCATATTTTCCACCCCAATCAGAGGTGGAGTGATAGGCTTGCGTGTACACTTCTACGTGCATGCAAGCACGCATGTGCCTGAGAGGTGTGCTCATGTATATTCCTGTCTACGTGTTCCTGTCTACAATTTTCACAACTCTGTGACTGTGCAAACTGCAGTTTTCGCATTAATACTAACATTCATCTCCTGTGCTTCTCACTAAAAAACACTGCTATCCATCTCAATAGCTATAAATTGGCAAATAAATTTCAGCTGTGGTAAAACTGCAGCCAGGCAAAGTTAAAAATCAGAAACAAAACAAATACACCCACGCAAACAAAACTCAAACATTCAGACAGAAAGAACTCCAACAGCCGCTTACGTAAACAGTTAAGCATATTCCCTCATGGAAGTCTTTCTCTATACACCATAACGGAAAGCCTATAGAAAACTCCAGAAGCATTAGCCTCTCACCCTGCCATAGAGTGCCTCGGAAGCGGTGCTGTAAAGTTCTCTCTAGGGTTTAAGTCGCAGGGCTGAGACATGCCTGTCATTTCAATTCTCCAAACCAGGCCGAAGACTGCGGAAAGAAATAAACACTTGTCTTATTTATTTCTTTATTTCCAAATAACTTCTTTTGCTCCAAATCATCCTCTATTACCCTGTTTATCACTGAAAGGAATTAAAAACATTAAAGAATGGGCAAAGAACGTTTTCCCCTCAGTGGGTTCCAAATGGCACAAGGTCTTTTTCCCCCCTCAAACTTTTAAACAAACAGCCATTCTCACTGTTGAAGCTGAGATTATGGTTTTAACGAGAGACAAAAATGCTCTAATTCAGGGTCTACTGAATTTTCATGCTTCTGACTGCGTGAGCTTGACATGTTATCACTATTTTACCACCACAGCGTGACAAGTTCCATTTATAAGCCACAAGTGACATGGTATTGAAACTCATCTTGCAGGTGAAAACCTGCCTCCTCCACGACAGAGCAAAGGTATTGTTTATAACGAGGTTAACAGGCCTTTGTATAATCAAGGTCTACTGAAGTGAGCATAAGGTTTATGACTGTATGGGGAGAATAAAGATTCACATCCTCTCTCATTCGCATGCACTCACTCACACACACACGCTACCACATTTTTAGCAGCACAATTAAAAGCCCCCAGTGTCACCAATGGTAAAAGAGAGAGAGCATGCAGCAAGCTTCAGAAGGTAACAGTGGTAATTAAAAACCAATCTGACTTCTCCTCGAGAGAATGAAGAATGACATTTCCTACATAAACCAACGTTAGGCCTGCTAGCACGCTGCCCACTGCCAAGGCATTCAACACCAGACTGGCTCATCAGCTTTCAAAAGTCGTGCTATACGAGTAATCTGGAGAAAAATAAGAGTGTATATCTTTTTCAAGGAGGAGGTGATAAGTGAGAGAAGCACAGAGAGAAAAGTAAACAACAACAGCATAAAAAAATAACTTTTCTGTGAGTCCATAGGAATATGGAAGGGTTAGAAAGAGGATGATCTCAGAGCCCACGCAAAAATCCATCTCTTTAGCCTTCGCTTCATCCAAGAACGCTGGTGGGTGGCAGGGCTTCAAGGCTGAGGCACCAGGAGCCCTCAAGCCAACACTAATGGGAGCTCTCAGTACAATAGGTTGGCACAGCCTACTGTATGACTGGCTGGATGTAAAGAATGAGGAGGGGGAGGGCTGTCTTATAGATAGACAGGGTGGCCAGAGTGAAAGAAGAAGCACAGACAGAATGAACAAAACAGCAATATGTCGCACATGAAGAGAGAGTGAGAGAGAGTGAATCAAGAGAAAGAGCATGACACTGAGCAGACTTTTCAGCTCTGACGCACAATGAAACTTTAAGAGCCCATATATTTTCTGCATCTGACAAGCACAACTACACCTGTCGCATGCACTCACTTCTGCACAATATTAATTACTTCGAAGACACTTTGACTTTCCAAATGTGTGTAATTAAATCAGGCACTAAAAAAACCTTGCAATAATGAGTAGATTATTCAATTACTAACACAATAAACAGTGGCAACCCTTTTATTTCTGTATGTGTGTGAGGGGAGAGTGGAGCACAGATTAGGACTACAACTTAAATACTTTTGTGGGAAGCCCTCTGTCTTCTTTGCTGAAATGTTGCCCTCAGAGTCCAATAAACAACTGGGACTGCAGAGGCAAGACATGAGGGGTAGGGTTTGGGATGTGCTTTCAGTTCACCAATGACTAAAGCCATGGGCACAAAGGCTCGGGATGAAGGTTTGCAGTTTTAAAAAAGGGTGGGTGTGCTGCAAAAGGACATTCAAAAGGATGGTGCCGTTTTTGTTTCTTTTGGTTTCTTTTTTCCCCTATGTGAGCTTGTGTAACAAAGTGGGTGTCAAAAAGAAAGAAGTGTTTTTTGTATAAAGACTAGTTTCATCTTATGGCATTTATACATTCTGAGACATGCAGAAACAGAGACCCATTGTTCATGGTCACCTGTTGCAATACAGACCACTTCACTATACAGGGAGGAAGAGGCTTGATGTTCAACAAGGAAAGCATTGTTATCTTAAAGTAGTGTGAGCTTACTGATAAAATTCGGTACTGGTCTTCTATTCTAAAAGAACGTCTTACAAATATGGTGTAGCCAGCGAGGTAATGCCACTAAAACTAAAATCAATGTTGCCGTTTAACACCAATACAGGTATAAGAGTATTGACTTTACATCACTTAGCACTAGTAAAATACGGTATTAGGGAGGGTCTCTGAGCTAGCTAAGCATTTCACTCAATGATAGATGGGGATGGTTGGAAGGAGGAAAGAAACGTGATTAATGATGAATGTCGTTATACTGATATACTGATTAATATAATTGCACGGTGCACGTTGACGTTTTAGATTTCGACTAAAGATTACGGAAAAGCGAACATGTCTTTAAACTGTAAAGTATGATCAATCGTACTCAATATGACAAGGGCCATGTTTTTCATTTCAGGTTGATTTTACAGGCACTCGCAGAAGCAGTGTTGATGATAATGAAAGAAACAGACACGGGATGTAGACAACGTGAAGGTTCGTCCAAGCCAAAGTAGAGTCTTCCGAGGCTTTTTGGTGGACCACATTTTGGTGCATATTCAAACCTGATACAACCAGACAGATCTCTTGACACCTCAAAACTTGATTTGAGATGCAGAGCCAAAGAACTGCCAATCCATCAACAACACCGCGACATGCACACATTACTTTCACAACATGCACGTGCAAAGAGATGATATCATGCTTATGTCCATGCGCACTATTCAAAAGCAGAGGGCTCATGCAACTGCAAGGAGCTCAATGCTCCACTCCCCCCTCTCTCGTTTACGTGTGAAGCTTAATGAAATAGCCTCAACTCTCTGCTGCCCCGTGTGTCGTGTCCCTCCCGCCTGTATGTACGTTAACCTGTGTGTCGGTCAGTTCTGCCCTTATCTACGTGCAACAGCTCCGAACATAACAGAGCAGGACATGACACCGGCGCCACCAAACGGGTCTGATGTTCAGTCCGTGACCAAATATCCAAACCACAACTTCCACAACGGATGGAGGACAAAATAAATTAATTCTGACCGGCGGAACGTTCAGTTGTTTCAGATTTAATCTCGAGGACAACAGATTTAGTGGGAAAGAAAAAAGAGCGGAAGGAAACAACCGTGAAGAACGCGCATTCCCTTTCTTAGCTTAGATAAAAACATTATGGCAGCAGCAAGTGAAACCTGGGGCTCTAAAAACACCCTGTTGCGTTTGAGCTTTACTTGGCTCCATCACACACAAAAGGCCGATAAATGCATTCACGAATAGATTGTTGCAAAAAAATGTAGGTGGAAACAGTGTGGTCGCAGCTCCTTTGCTGGAGGGATTAGAGAAAGGGTTTAGGAGCCAATCCCACTTGCTGCCTTAAAACGCTCAGAGAAAGAAACACCCCGGGAGGCCACACCTTACATTAACATGGCGTACCAAAACTAAGTATAAGGAATGCTGGCGAGTCCGCTATGTTTATGCGATGTAAATCTGATGATCACGTTATGCTTAGCCTGCATGCACCATTAACCTGGTGCATACGTGCAAGTTGCCAATTGCCAGCCCGGTCCACATGGAACGCCTGACTTCATGCAACTCCAAGTGTCACTGGCCACTGTTAAAATCAGCGATTTGCATATATTCATTTAACTGCGAGTTGCCAGGTACACAAACTTAATAAATGCTACTTTACCTTGGCTAGACAGAAGAATGACGCCAAGAATCAGCCAGCTGCTCCCCATTTTACAGTCGGAGCTGTAGTCTCGCTCGACAGTCTTCTTGTAAAGCACACAGTCGCGAGAATACACAATCCGCAATCCTTAAGCCCCCCGAATCTCAGTCACAAATGCTCCTCGCGTGACGTGCACTCACTTTGAGAGACACATGTGTCGTTCACCGACTGAAGGCAAAATCCAAGTCCGTGGATTAAAGGTTTGACCACACGAATTAGCGTTTTGTTTCCCCGTTCTTGGTCTCCTGTCAGCTCCACACTTTAAACATCTGAAAGTCCTTTCCCCTACTCGGGTGACCAGTATGCGGACAGGTAGCTAATGTTCTCGGTATGCTTCGTGAGGTAAAAGGTGCTTGGATGGTGAGGCAGCGTCCAGGCTCCAGACTCCTTCCGCTGGAGCGAGTGGAGTGGAGTGGAGTGGAGTGGAGGGGGCGGGCGAAGTTGTGACGTCAGACAGCGTCACATAAACTGCCCAAACCCAAAGGTTGGAAAACCCTCACAACTTCGTACGCTTACAGAACCTGCCCTTCTCAATTCACTCCAGACACGAAACGAAAAAGGTTTCCTTTAAATAGGCCAATCACAGGAAAGTCTCTATCTTACTAAGACCGTTTATGAAATTAACTGAAAATCCCCATGCAGTGAAAAACATCTTGTCTTTAGTTTTTTAAGACATTAATCCAAATCAAACAAGGTAAGTGAGACATCAGTAAACATGAAACATTTAAGATAGCGCTTTGTTGTTTTTTGTGAGCCAATGACAATAAATGCTGCTTATATGATGCTCAGTTATAGGCTACGCCATAAAAATAACACAGTGATACGTAAGAGATTTATATTGTAGCGTTCTGCTACTGGCTGGCGCCTGAGGTGTGGCTAGGCAGATGACCACATGCAAAGGCTAATGATAGCGCGTGCCCTCAAAAAAGGTCTACATATTGTTTATTGTTGTTGTCTGTTAGTTGTAACATAGTTATGTTTGAGTGTTACTTGTGTTATTTAGTGTCGGGGGCTTTGGGTTTTGTGTGAGACGGGGTCACTGTCGGGGTGAAGTGTGTGGCTAGTGGTGATGTCTCTCTCAAGATAAATGTCTTGCGTGTCAGTTGTTTTTGCTATTCCATTGACGAGCATTTTCTGTTAGCAAGGAATGCCTGCGTTTGTATTTGTGGTTGAACTGATACCGCACTGGAGTCAGAAATGGGATAAAGGACTGTTGCTCCACTCCTATTTGATGGGCCGGTGCAAAAAGTGTGTGTCGCGGAGTCGATGTGGTGACGCATGAAGGTGGGGCTAGTGGGCGAGAGGCCGGCAGAAGTGAAACCATCGAAGATAAAGCTAAATTTATTTCAAAATAAATATTAATGGATTAATCTTTATCCTACAACATGGATAATATTTCAAGTGAAAGTACATCAAGCAATGTAGCACTGAAGAGTTATAAAGATGTATGTAGCTTGCTACATACATTAGTTACATTATGTGCTGGCTATGCTAGTCTTGTTAACTGCGGACAACACTGGGTGACTAAAAAATTGTGTGTAGCAACAGATGGGCTACAGTCAGTAACTATCATTAGTAACAATAAAGATTAAAGCCTAAAATAAAGGCTAAAGCCAGTAGACCACTGTCAAAAAGTGAGAAGCATCATCAAATAGCAATCTATGTAGATGAGATGGAATTAAAGAGCAGCATTGTTCCTGTATTGCAGGGCAAGCACACATATGTGTACAGGCCCACACACACACACTCGTATTTCAATTCATCTTCTCCATATGCAAAAATACATATTTATTAGAACAAAAGATTAACACGTCATTATAATAATAATTCTCAGATATAACATCAGTCATTAAAGTGGAACTGCATTTTTCTAAATTCCTGCAATTAAAATTAAATTGTTAAGATCTGAGCTGGTAAGTTTCTTTACAGTGAACGATTTCACATCAAATCTCTCTTAATGACTGTTTACATCTTAACTATTGAATTATGCAATTACTTTTGCCTTGTAGCAGGTAGTGCAGCTAGCTATATGTCTCAGATGAATTTTGATTGACTACTCTGATGTTTGCCACATCCACGTTATTTAAATTCATCCTCTCCATTTGAAAATGAGTCATTAAATCTAGTAATTAAATAGGCCAATCACTGAAAAGTTCCTTCTCTGGTAAGAGTGTTTGTGACATGAAATGAGAATGCCTATGCCCTGGAAAATTTGTTGTAAAGTTGTTTTAGTGACTGTACAGGAATTTCCTGTGTTGTCACACAGGAGATTTTAGCATACAAACAGGGTGATGTTTTAGGATCTTATCTTAATAAATGTAAACATGTTACTAACTAGGAAATGTGTCTAAATTAACAGCTTATTTTGAAACACCTGTGCTGACCGGCTGATTCCCTGGCTAAAACAATACAACTAATTAAGCAATTACTAAATTGAAGCAGTGGAGTGATGAATTCAGTGTTGCCTGTCAAATTCTCGCCCACACCATATGCATACTAATCACTTACCTCGCTATGCCATCTGTTGACTGTTTGATGCTATTGCACACACCATTCATGTTGCACTTTCTTGCACCTGCTTGACCTTGACTCCTCAGGCTCCTTCAGGGTGAAAATGAAGTTGACGCTTTCTCATTTCTTACCAAATGTTCAGTAAACAAACTGAATATTCATAGTACATTATATAATTTCATGGTGCTATACTAAATAGTGGCATAAGATACTGAGGAAAGTCTTTTTACTTAAGCTTACCTTACCCACATATCTTCTTAAGTCGCTATGTCAACAATGTGTGGATGTATATGACATATAAGAGATCACACCTGAATACGTTCTCTGCCATGTTGGTCGTACATGTGCTTTGTTACTGTCCACCACTGAATGAAGCTAAGCTGATACATAGTGCCACATGAATCGTTCTATATAGATATACTGAGAAACTCTGTTTTCAAGGGAAAATGTGAAATTTGCACTGTGGTACCACATTTGACCATACCAATACATATAATCATAATAAGCCATCCAAGAGGAATTACCTATTTGAAAAGGAGGTTGAGGTGTTTAAGGATGTTTATGATCTGGGATGTTTGCAGTTACCTAATCAGAATCAGAATCACTTTATTTCGCTATCTATTTTCCACATACCTGTTGCAAGGAATTTGTCTTGGTGAGTGCACACATGTATGACATGTAACATACTAAACAGACCAGACAGTAGACAGTCTGTTAACGAGTATTTAACTAAGGAAAATTTCAATAAAATACAATAAATAGAATGAAGAATGCAAAAGAGCCATGGGAAGTGAGCTATGTTTGGATATCTGTACCTATGCAGATATGTATGTAGGTCTGAGTAAACATATATTATAAAATATGCTATAATATAGTATATAGTATAAAATATACTATATACAGCATATTTGAGAATGACATGAACATATGTAAAAAGGAGGGGCCCTGTTTTTGTTTTGCCATCACCCTGCTGTTGTAGATGTCCTAAAGCGTTGGCAGACTACATCCAATTCTCCTCTCTGCTATCCTGATTATGTGCTGGAGTTTGGCCCATAGCAATTAGTAAGACTTAATATCACTTCCATATTTATTAAATTTGTTCTAACTATTCTTTAATGGTATGTCATAACAATTTATTCTAAGAATGAATCTAGAAATCGAAAGGCCTATTTACTACAAAGTCAACCTAATCTCTACTAATTACCACAAATATTGACTATGTTTACATACCTAAAAACCTAAAAGATTACAGCTATCCACATATGAGCTTTCTGCTGTTTAAAAATATCTGAGTTCTTTTTTTATCTATTTCAATATCTAATGATATCCATATCTCACAAAATCTTTAACATAATAAATGTCTCTTCTTCTTGTCAAAAGTGCAGCCCTATTGACTTTTGTCACTCATGCTATGTGTCTCAAAGCAAAGGTTGCTGAGAAAGGCCGTATTCCTCTACTGTTACGTAACCGAAGCCTGTCTTGTTTTAAAGAATCCTTCGAATGCTGCCAAGAAATGCTCCCTTTGTTTGAGAATTCAAAGGACTGATGTATCCTTCGAGATCTCCAGTCACCAACAGTCCTTCATGGATTGAAATGCAAATTTAAAAGTAATGTTTTTAAATACATCGCAATGCTTACGTCAGTAGGCCAAGATGTATCAGCACAGCGCCAAAGAGATATTTTTGCATACTTATGCTACAAGGTCTCTTCTGTCTAGCCTACAGCCTCCACCTCAAGATATGTCTCTTTGGTTTGGTGTCAAAAAGCTGTCATCACATGTGTGATATGACTGAAAAAGTCTTAAAATGTTACCATGCGTGTGTGAGTCAGTAAAGCAATGTCAGCATTTACACGTCTTAATCTATTTCCGAAAGTCCAGCCAATATCAGCCTCAGCCACATGTTTTATCAGGCTAAGCTTAGTTCGACTAAGACCGTAGTCAGACTATGATAATTAAATCGTACTTGTTACATGATGTCCTCTTAGTTCGACTAACTGTCTTAGTCGGACTAATATCGAACTATGGTGGGCGCGTAAACATAGTTAATAATTTCTGATGACTATAATAATAATTTCTCAAATATAAATGAACAGAAAAGACACTGACACAAAGTACACTTATAACAGAAGCCAATGGTCAGGTGATACAGATGTAAAGGTTGAAAAACACTGGAATATTCTTTTAATATTGATAAAATCATTTAAGCATGTCGTTTAATAATTCTTATGTTAGTAACCAGAGGTCATAGTCAACAGCAAGCAATGTTGATGTTCAGCATCACCAAATAAAGCATCATCAAAGATCTGATAAAACCCATTGCTAGGTGGCTTGCTGCTTTAGTAACACACAGGGCCCTTGACCGAGATGTTCAATGTTAAAAATGCACATATTCAAGCAGCAAAAAAGAGTTCAGTGTTAAGTTCCTAGTTTCTGCAGCATTGAGGTTTTTTATTTTCTTGCATTCACATGCTATTCAGTTGTCCTCAGTTTGCACTTTATAACTCTTATACAATTAAAAAATACAATGGTAGGAAATACAATTAGGTGTGCCCTCTGATAAAGAACTCTAATCACTCTCTAGGACTTCTCCTAGAATCCGTTTTGATGACTAACCATTATTCTGACTGTAAAGAGTGTTTAGGGCAGTGATTGCAGTTTGAAGTTTGCAGTGAGAGCCCACGTGTTCCAAGACACTCTCTATTCTCTAATCTCTATTCATCATTCAGTCATGAGTTACATGGTGATCATGCTCTAATGCAGGTTTTTTTTTGTTTTACTGCAAACCATTCTACTCTCCCAGAGAGTTTTCTTCTTTTATTCTGGTTGCCCTTTACATTCCACCAGATACGCCCACTAGCGATGGGCACAAACTGCTGGCCAATCAGATAAT